CCCCCACGGCTGAAAGGGCGAGCATGCTTGGTGGGACTGGGATTCGAACTCGCGACCCTTAGATTGCGAGTCGAGCACCCTAATCACCTGGCCATGCCAGGCGTTCCAGTAAGGAAGTATATGATTTACATAGTGAAATCTGGTGTTCCAGTAAGGAAGTAGTTGATTTGCATAGTGAAATCTGGTGTTCCAGTAAGGAAGTATCTGATTTACATAGTGAAATCTAGTGTTCCAGTAAGGAAGTATCTGATTTACATAGTGAAATGTGGTGTTCCAGTAAGGAAGTATCTGATTTACATAGTGAAATCTGGTGTTCCAGTAAGGAAGTAGCTGATTACATGGTAAATTCTAGTGTTCAAGTAAGGAAGTATCTGATTACGTTGTAAAGTTTGGTGTTCCAGTAAGGAAGTAGCTGATTACATGATAAAGTCTGGTGTTCTAGTGAGGAACGAGCTGATAACCTAGACAAGTCTGGTGTTCTGGTGAGGAACGAGCTGATAACCTAGACAAGTCTAATTTTCCACTGAGTAACTAACCGATTAAACAATGAGGTCTGGGATTCCAGTAAAGAGACTGATTGATTGAATACTGAAGCCAGGTGCTCCGGTAGCGAAATGTCTGAACGCATATCGAACATGCAGTTGGTTCCTCTAATTCGAAATATTGAACACAATAATAACATAGTCGCGCTTCTGCTTGCAGATTAATTGAACGTATTTAATGTTTATCGTATATAGTCGCCCCTTCGTGGAAGGAAGTGGTATTAGTAACATGCACTAATTTCCGTTTATGCTATCAGTGCGCAGAATCATAATAGAACTCACTGTCTGAAAGGTGCTCACTATGCATGCGCTATTATAAAGATCTGTGCTGAATAAGATCTTTATGAACACCAATATAAATACACACAGTATACGAAGACCCTTAAAGTATACAGTAGATAAGATTTGTTGCCAAACAATCTTTGAAGTATTTTAGCACTGAATAGTACGATGTTTGTGTGTGTGTGTGAATATTTATGTATAGTAACGTGTAGTTGCAAGATTTCATTTACCTTAAATATTCTGCAGATAGTCATATCTAAAACACTACTTTAAGGGAGCATCCATACAATTCTGACTGCTTTAAGGAAAATATATATGTAAATGAAATTCATGTTTCTATTATGTTTACTTTTTGTTATTATATAGCAGGAAATAATTTCGGCGACTAATAACATCCTATACTCCCAGTAGATCACTGATAAGTTTACAGACTTTACAACGCTAAGGTCCAGGGTTCGTGTCACCGTGATGGACAATGTGTAAATTGCCTATTGTGTGACTTTGCGCTAAAGCAAATAACGCTCAAGTATTCATTTAAATTGTACGAATTATTTCAATTTTATATAAAAAAAAGCTTCATCTATTTACCCCAAGCGGCATTCCCCCCCTAATTTCATTAATGTTTATTTCAGACATCATGCATATTAAGTGTCCAAAAATATATATATTTGGTTTGAAAACACCATAATATTACACAATGTTGAGCTATATGAATTTATCAGTAAAGTTGCGACTTATGCTTCGTGACTTGCAATAACAGCCTCGTCTGTACGCAAAACCAAAATGGCTTTTGTATAGGATAAATCGCACCGTATGTGTCGTTATTGTGTTCTACCAAAAGTATTGTTTCCTCATCCACATGAGGTATACGGCTTAGCAAAGTAGACAATATAAAATCCATAGAGAGAAGATGGCAGTCGCGTTTCGCTAAACGTTACCCTAAGTAATTTACCCCCACCCCCCACTGGATTAATTTCTCAGAGAAGAAAACACTATACCATAAATACCATAAACGTCACCTTAAGCAATTTAACCTCTGTGGATTTATTTCTCCGTTATTTTTTTAAGTAGCAAACAAAATTATTCATTAACGCAAAACCAAAAGCGAGGCGTTAATATGTCATGTGAACAGGAAGTACAACTTTAACACATTCTGTTAAGGTCATATTTAGGAAATAACCACTATCCTGGATATATTAACAGTTTCTTCCTACCTAAATAGCAAAGTTTAATGACAGTCGGACAGTTCCTCGTGTCTTCACAAGAGATGTACTCCCTAGGTCAGCGCTACAACGCTAAAATTCGGATTTCGATCCCCATTGTGAGGCTTTGTGCTTAATAACGAACATATGAGCTACACCAGTTTTAAACCGATGAGGTGACATATTTCTAGTAACCTTGTATTATTCACTGTAGTAAAACAACATGTATACAACGTGTTAAACTTGTCTGATTTTGAATCTGTAGTTTTTAGTTTCATTGTTAAAGTTAACAAACAAGGATAAAAATGCAATGTAGATTATATAAAGAGTTTATACAGCTTTTCCGAACCAAAAGTAATAAACATTGAGTACTCTAAGCTGTCTGGTGAGAATTATGTCTTAATATAATTTGTTACAAAGAATATTTCATAGAAACGTCCCCTTCTATGATTTAATAAACGTTCTTCAGTAACATGAAGCCAGAGAGTAACTACATTAGAGATGACTAGAAATTTCAGAGCGTCATGCTTCTAGCAGAGATAAAGAAGAAAGCCTTAAAAGCCCCTCATCTTACAGAGTGCACCAGCCAACTGTTATTGAAGTCGTAACATATGACGTTTCTACAACGTTTCTGAATAGTTGTGCATTAGTTTGTTTGTTTGTTTGTTTTGATTATGCACAAAGCTACACAAGGGCTATCTGTGCTCTGCCCACCACGGGTATCGAAACCCGGTTTCTAGCGTTGTAAGTCCGCAGACATACCGCTGTGCCACTGGGGGGCCGTGCATTAGTAAAATCCTATTAGTGGACGGTCGTTGCATGATAATTTACATGCGAGAAGCAGTGACATAGCCACGGGGGCGCGAAAAGGCGCAATGCGCCCTCTCACAAGAAAAATGCGCCCTCTAAAAATCTGCCTTAAAAAATAATGCCTCTTTTTACTTTTTTCGAACTTGAATAATTCCAATGTACTCATGCATAAAAATATTAGGTAACCGAAGTAGTAGTTGCTGTAAATCAATATTTATAAAATAAAATATATTTGTACTTATGCTTTCGGTTGTTGTGTTTTTTATCGCATCAATGGCTGCATACCGCTGACGTGGATTATTCAGATTCGTCAGATTTCAAAGAAATTGTTATTAATCGATGCAACGTTAATCGTTCGTTTATTAGTAAAATAAGAATTATAACTGAATGTTAGACAAGGTGTTGCTTCTTACACAAGACAAGAGCATAACTGAATACAATAAATTATTCGTGCTCTCATCGAACTGTGAAGATAAGAAGACACATAACTGAAACCGCTCTCTCATTCTTGCTTATGCATTGCTAGATTTACAGTGTTTGAGGCACTATTATTGACGGAAAGATTCTATCCACGGCATCCATTTTGTTCTTCAGAGGTGAGGAAATGTTACTTTAATTGTTAGCAGGTACTTTAGTAAATTCTATATAATAGTTTAGGAATTGGTCTTATTATTTACTAGCTGAGGTACCCGGCGTTGCCCGAGGGATTTTATATATGTATATATATATATATATTTGCATTTAGAAGTTTTTAGGCCTACTTATGTTCAAATGAGCAAGCACGCGTGATCCGTCAGCACACTGAATAGTTTTTTTTCCCATCTTCATGCTTCGACACCACCCTTACTGCAACATACTTTTTTTGCGCTTTATCTTCCTCTATAGACCTCAAAAACATTTTAAAACGCTTTATGATGACGTTGTAACGTCATAACGTGACTGCGCCGTAATTGGTTGAATAGGCAGATCTGTTACAGGACGACAGACAGACATCGGATCGAAACATTCGGCACGTCACTTTCTTTGCCTGGTCAAAACATGCATTTAATGTATACATCACTTTGCTCTAACTGGCCTGTGGTCTGAGATATGGTGTCATAACGCCACAAACACACAAAGTCCTTCCTTTTATATATATATAATTACTTATTGTCTTATTCATACCTAACTGATACTTAAATAACTTAATTTGTAATTAATACTTTAACAGTTTATCAGTAATATACTAAATAGGGTCCTAATTTTACAAAAGTGGTAAAACATTGTTCCTTTATTAATTCATAAAATGAATGTTATTAATATTCAAATAATTGTCTGATTTTTCATCACTGCATTCTTTCTATTTTTGTGTGTTTTAGGAAAGAGGAATGGAAAATAAGAAATACAAACAAAGTAAGCTGAGCTTTGGGTTTGCAGCAGCAACAGCATCAAACTCACCAAGTTCAACAGAGACGTTCACATCAAACCCACCAAGTTCAACAGAGACACTCACATCAAATCCACCAAGTTCAGCTACTTCAACACAGCTAGCAAAGTCAACGTCCACCCTTCTTACAGGTTGTGCTTATTCTTTTGACTTGGGAATTGATATTCCTAAACAGCCCAAACTTGGCCAATACCAATAAGCGACAATTTTGTTCACAGTGGTATAATAACAAACCTTGGCTTGAGTATTCAGTGATAAAAAAAATGCTGCCTTTTGCTACTGTTATAGGAAGTTTGGTACGAGTAGTGCGGAGAAAAGTTTCACTGATGTAGTTTACACAATAGCATTGTCATCTGGTAAAGGAATCAGGAGGCTAGAGTTTCATCCCTACTATATGTGGGCAATTATCGAGATCATACAGATTCTAGCTGGGAAGAAAAGCGCCTTAAGGGGCAACTATATCAGTGAACTTGGTATGGAGGACGGATTTTTTCAGACCATGTTCATCTTTGCCATCAGCAGAGATAAGAAACTGGAAGAAATTCATCGCTTAATTCCACGCAACGCAAAGTATACGTCACCTGAAATCCATAATCAAATTCTCGGTCTACTCGCGAAAACTATCCAGCAAAGAAGCCGAAATGAAGTTGGTGATAAGAAGTACGCAATAAAGGTGGATGAAACTCGTGATAAGTGCAACCGTGAAAATATGTGCTTATGTGTGAGGTACTTACAAGACGGAAATATTGTTGAACATCTACTTGCTGTTATTCCAGTTTCTAGTTTTGACGCACATTCCTTGACTGACTCCATCATAGCAATACTTCAAGAGCATAGCTTCAGTTTGAAAAACGTTCTTAGCTAATGCTAAATGGAGCTAGTGTCATGTCGGGACGATCTGGGAGTGTTCAAAAACTTCTCCAGGAAAGACTAGGCCGATCTGTTCCCTAGGTGCACTGCCTAAACCACCAGCTACACCTTGTAGTTGTGCGTGCGATTTCGTGGACGCCTTTTTTGGCACTTGCAACATATTGTACAACTTCATACGTAAGCCAACTGTGCCTGTTCACTACACTGGGCAAGTACTGAAACGACTGTTGGAACACCGGTGGACTGGCCACCTAGCTACTGTGAAAGTCATCACTGGATCATATAAAGCTATCTTGACGATTCTGTCAGACATTGCCACAAATGAGAATAGCACATTCTTACCTGAATTAGTGGCGGAAGCAATCGGATTGTTGAAGCTGATCAAAAAGAAACCCTTTCTGTTCCATGCTGTAGCTGTCCACAAAGCATTGAGTATATTAGCATCTGTCAACATTCATCTACAATCAGTCAGTATCAATCTGATGCAGGCTTTGATGCTGATATCATCTTCGCGAGCATCCATTGCTTTGTTGAGACTCGATGAAACATTTACCACTTTGCTGGATGAAGTTAAGCTGATTCTGCAAAATACTGCAGGTGATGATAACAGTGTAACAGTACAAGACCATCAACCTGCAGAAAATAGAAGACGCCGTGAAAACTCTGGTTTCAAAGACTACACTGTTGACCATCTGTACAGAGATAATACCAATTTGTCAGAAAATGATAACCTCAAACGATCGTGGTTCTGTCTAATTGACAGTATCCTGGTTGAGCTTGATGAACGTTTCTCTGAGAAAAATTCACATCTTATTCGTGCCATGGAGTCACTAGATCCTGAATCAGAACATTTCTTTGACAAGGACCGAATGGTATTTCTCGCAGACTTGATCGGCCTTGAAATGGACAGCTTTGTTTTGGCTCCAACTGATGTTGTCAAAAAATACATCAGTGACCACTGGAGGAAATACGACAAACATAACCTGGTGTCTGTTTTGCAACAGCTTTTCCATTTGAAATCGAAGCGCTTTCCAGCCATTACAGAACTGTATGAGGCAGCATTAACAATTGGATCCTCAACTGCAACATGTAAAAGAGTGCTTACAGACCTCCGTCAGTCGATGTCTCATGAAAGACTGGCGAACTTGATCCTCATCAGGTTTGAGAAGTGCATCCTTGATGATATATGTCAGAGTATTGATGGGAAGTATAATATCTTGAGAGACTTCAATTCTATTCAAAATAGACGATTAAAGTTGCTTTAATAACAAAATTTGGACTTGGTTAACATTGATTTAATTAATTACAAGGGTTTACATTTGTTTTACAGTTTTATTGCGATTACGGTTGTTTTAATAACAAAATTTGGACTTGTTTTACATTGATTAATTAATTACAAAGGTCCAATCAACTTTTCCTGAGACTGACTCGTGCTTTCTGTTTTGATTAACCTACCAGTTCATACCTAACTATGGCCCGGCATGGTCAGGTGGTTAGGACACTCGACTCGCTATCTGCGGGTCGCGGGTTCGCATCCCCGTCATCCCAAACATTCTCGCCCTTTCAGCCGTGAGGGCGTTATAATGTTACAGTCA